AGTATTGCGCCTCAGCTTGGCTTGTTGGACGCCGACCTACCACATCAACGGCTCCCGCTTGAGACTTCCCCACCATTTATTTCAAAATCGCGATTCGCGCGGGATTTCGTCATAATTGATGCAGGAGTCGCGCTCGCGCGTGGTACTTCCTCGAATTTTATCCAGACGCCGCGCCCCCGACGCTCAGGAATCGCGCTCTCGGCCCTACCTTTTTCGCGAGTTACTTGGGCATCGCTCCATCGTTCGAGATTTCCTCGCGATTCATGCATGACGCACGCTTCAGCAACCCGCCTGCTCGACCCGGCCGCCTGGGCCCGCTTTCCCGACTCGCCCGTGAGGGTCTACCCGCCCGATCAGCCCGTCTGGTTCTGCTACGTGTTTTCTGCTTCTAGCCCCTCTCCTGCTAATCTCTCTCGTGCTCCATCCTTTTCCCTCCCCCTTGTCACTTCCTTCCATCCGTCCTCTCTTCCCTTGTTTGAGGGGCTGCGCCACAAACGCGTGGTAGGTAAGGAAGATCTACCCCCAAGGGAGTGCGATCGAAGACGAAGAGGGCGGGTATCGAGGTTCTGTGATCTACGTATTTAATTGGACCCGTCTTGGTAAGAGTGATCAGCTTTACAATGTTTTTGTTGTTGTTGTTGTTGTTGTTGTTGTTGTTGTTGTTGTTGTTGTTGTTGTTGTTGTTGTTGCTGCTGTTGTTGTTGTTGTTGTTGTTGTTGCTGTTGTTGTTGTTGTTGTTGGTGATGGTGTTGTTGTTGTTGTTGTCGTTGTTGTTGTTGTTGTTGTTGTTGTTGTTGTTGTTGTTGTTGTTGTTGTTGTTGTTGTTGTTGTTGTTGAATTCTCACTTCTGAAGAATAATTATTGTTGATCCCCCCACCAGTGCATACTGTTTTTTCTCAATCAAAGTGTGCCCCTCGACGCTCGCACGTGGTTTTTTGACAGGGAACGTCTTCCTGGTCAAACTGGACCCTTGGCCCCCGGGTTACAACAACAACGGTTCCCGCCTGAGACTTCCTTACAATTTAGCCAGGACCCCCGCTTCCGCCCGAGACTTCCTCGCATTTTATTCAGAAGTCGCGCTCTCGTTTGGGACTTCCTTGCAATTTATTCAAGAATCGCTCTCCCGGCGCTCTGGAGTCGCGCTCTCGCTGAGACTTGCTTGCAACTTACTGAAGAATGGCCTTGCCTTGGAATTTCCTGCAATTTGCCCAAGCGCCGCGCTCCCGACACCCAGGCACCCTGGAGTCGCGCCCGTTGTGGCCCCATGTGCATGCCCTTCGTGGCCCCGCTGTCGCCATTTGTGTCCCCCTCACTGTCCTACGTGGCCCAGTTGCTACCCTCAGTGGCCCCATAGTTGCCTTCTGTGGCCCCGCATTATCTGCACTTCGTGGCCCCCGCTCGTTCGCGCTCTTCGTGGCCCCATACGCATTCCCTTCGTGTCCCCGCTGTCGCCCTACGTGGCCTACTTCGTGCCCTTCGTGGCCCTGCTGTCGTTCTCCCTCGCTCTCGCTTTCGCTCGTCGTCGTCGTCGTCGTCGTCGTCGCGTCGTCTTCGACGTCGTCGTCGTCGTCGTCGTCGTCGTCGTCGTCGTCGTCGTCGTCGTCGTCGTCGTCGTCCGGTCCCCTGTCCGTCCCTCTCGGGGTCGGGTCGACGGTCCGCGGCCGCCCCGCCGATCAGCGCTGCCGCTGGCCAGGCCGACGGTCCGCGGCCGCCCCGCCGCTTGCCGGGGCCCGGCCTGCAGGGAAGAAAGGTCGATCGAAGACGAAGAGGGCGGGTATCGAGGGTTTGGGAAATACGCGTTATTGGACACTCGAGCATCTATGGGCGAACGGTCTTAAAATTATTGTTGTTGTTGTCGTCGTCGTCGTCGCCGTCTTCGTTGTTGTTGTTGTTGAACATTATTTATTCTAAAGAATAATTATTGTTGGGGCCCCTGGTGCGCGGCCCCCTCGCCGCGCCTAGGCCGCAGCCACATTTTCATCATTTTCGTGAGGAAGTCTCAGGCAAAACGTGGGTGTCCGGATCCGGTTGTTTTGTTGACGCCCGCTTTCCCTTGCAAAAAACACTATAAAATGACATTTCTTGTTCTAACATAACCAAACTTCAAGAATCCTTTGAACAAAATGACATGAAGTGCACACTCGCGCGCGCAAGATGAAATCCTTCCAAAACCCTAGTTTTCGTAGCGATTTTTAACATAAAAACATGAAAACCCAATGTTTTTTCAAAAAAAAAGTTTCAAAAATTCATCTTGCGCGCTCTTGCGGATTTCTGAGGAAACCCAATATTTTTTACATTTCTGTCAAACGGGCTCTTGCGAGCAACTTTTTCACGTGCTTCGAACTTCTGCAACAACGGTTGCGCGCATGCCAGGGCCATCATCCCGGTCAAATAATACCATATTGGACACATTCGTTTTTTCTTCGCGCGCGCACGCCGTCGTCGTCGGCCGCGGGGCCCAGAATAGTAGCCACGGTCGTCCGCATGCCACGAAGTGAAGTGTCCGAACGTCATAGGGCGGGAAGCTGGGTGTGGGTGGTGGCGAAGAGTCGTTTGGAAATTTGGTAGAGCTTGAACCGGCCCCCCCACAAAGTGGGGGTATTGCCCGCCTCCTATGAAAACCCTGGCACTGGTGAGAACGGAGTGTCCCCAGTCTAAATGATTGTTGTTGTTGTTGTTGTTGTTGTTGTTGTTGTTGTTGTTGTTGGGTTCTCATTCCTGAAGAACATGGTTGGTTGATTCACCCCTCCGGTGCCCAGAGTGTTTTCCAATTCTAGTGCTTGTCCCGGGGCTCGCACCCGTTTTTTTTCAAGGGGAAGTCTTGCGACTCAGCTTGGCTTGCTGGACGCCGAACTACCACATCAACGGCTCCCGCGCTTCCCCACCATTTATTTCAAAATCGCGATTCGCGCGGGATTCCGTCATAATTGATGCAGGAATCGCGCTCGCGCGTGGTACTTCTTCGAATTTTATTCAGACGCCGCGCCCCCGACGCTCAGGAATCGCGCTCTCGGCCCGACCTTTTTCGCGAGTTACTTGGGAATCGCTCCATCGCTCGAGATTTCATCGCAATTCATGCAGGACGCACGCTTCAGCAACCCGCCTGCTCGACCCGGCCGCCTGGGCCCGCTTTCCCGACCCGCTCGTTAGGGTCTACCTGCCCGATCAGCCCGTCTGGTTCTGCTGCGTGTTTTCTGCTCGTAGCCCCCCTGCTAATCTCTCTCGTGCTCCATCCTTTTCCCTCCTCCTTGTCACTTCCTTCTATCCGTCCTCTCTTCCCATGTTTGAGGGGCTGCTCCACATACGCGTGGTAGGTAAGGAAGATCTACCCCCAAGGGGGTGCGATCGAAGACGAAGAGGGAGTAGAGAAGAGCGAATAATATCACAATGATGCTTGTTGTTTATAATGCTGCTGCTCATGATGATAACGACGATGATGCACATGCTGATGATGGGGATAATGTGAGGACGATCATGATGGTGATGATGCTGATGATGACGATGGTGATGATGATGTTGATGATGATCATGCCGGCCATGATGATGGTGCTGATGAGGATGATGAGGATGATGAAGGTGACGGGAAGTATGATGCTGATGGTGACGAAGATGACGATGATGAGGATGCTGATGATGGTGATGCTGATGCTGATGATGACGATGTTGAGGATGATGCAATTGATTATGATGATGATGGTGGTGGTGATGATGATGGTGGTGGTGATGATAATGATGAGGCTGACGATGACGACGGCAATGATGAAGATGATGATGAGGAGGAGGAGGAGGAGGAGGAGTCGGTGGTGGTGGTGATGATGATGCTGCTGATGCTGATGCTGATGATGACTATGAGGATGATGACGAGGATGATGATGATGCTGATGCTGATGATGATGATGATGATGATGATGATGATGATGATGATGATGATGATGATGAGGATGATGATGATGATGCTGATGATGATGAGGATGAGGATGATGCTGATGATGATGATGATGATGATGATGATGATGATGATGATGATGATGATGATGATGATGATGATGATGATGCTGAGATGATGTATGATGCATGATGAGGAGGCAGTGGAGTGGAGGAGGAGGAGGAGGCTGAGGAGGAGGAGAGGAGGCACCGAGAGAGGAGAGGAGGAGGAGAGGAGGGGGAGGAGGAGGAGGAGGAGAGGAGAGGAGGAGGAGGCGGAGGAGGCGGACAAGGAGGTGACGGGGCGAAGGAAGAGGCATGAGCAGGAATAGGGGGAGAGCTGAAAATGTTGGATGGAATTTGAGGGATGGAGTATGGAGATGACGGCCGAGGATGGAGGGTGGAGGGCTGGAGGGAGGGATGGAGGGAGGAGGGAGGGAGGGATGGTGGGGGGAGGGGAGGGAGGGAGGGAGGGAGGAGGGAGGGAGGGAGGGAGAGAGGAGGAGAAGGAGGAGGAGGAGGAGAGGAGAGGAGGAGGAGGAGCAGGAGATGAGGATTAGGAGGAGGAGGAGGAGGGGAGGAGGAGTAGGAGGAGGAGGAGGAGGGGGAGGAGGGGAAGGAGGAGGAGGAGGTGGAGGAGGAGGAGGAGGAGGAGGAGGAGGGAGGGGAGGAGGAGGAGGGGGAGGAGGAGGAGGAGGAGGAGGACGGGCCCGCTCATGAGGCAGCCTTTCATTCCAGTCAGCGTGTGCGAACGGCAGAGCACGAATCGTGGGCATCGGGTAACAGGGTGGGAGCGAGCAAGAGGCACCGCGGGCCAGGACAGACCGTGGCATCAGACGGCCTCTTCTTTCCCCCTCCTCCTCCTGTCCATGTCGTCCGTCTCTTTGCCTGCCTCTTGCATGTCTTGCATCTTCTTCTCCTCTTCCCCCCCTCGCTCCTTTCTCATCATCCTCTCCTTCCTCCTGTCTCTCTTCTTTTCTCATTGTTTCTCTTTCTCACATGTCCCTCTTTTTTCGTTTTTCTCAAACGCCTACCCATTGTCTTCTACCTCCTTCTGCTCATCCTCATTTTCCTCTTCCGTAGCCGTTTGGCTCAAGGGCTCGTTCTTGGTCGGACTTCCGATACCGCAGCGCACTGCCTAGGCACCCGTGCGGCTACCATGGCTACGGGTCTGAACTTGCTGACATTTGTAAGTTTCGTTTGTGTCTGTATGGCTGTCGGCGAGGGGGAGGACTTGATGACGGAGCTTGCGGGCGAGGTGCTCTCCAACAAGCAGGCGCTCCTGAGCATTCCGTGGGAAATCTACAGGGACACGCCATCATTCAGGGATGTTGGCTACGTGGGCGAGTTTCCAATTAGCGATTCTGCTGCTACTGAGATCCACCTGAGCTCGTTGCAGACTGGACGGGAAATCCAAGGATTCCCACCAAACGTTCTGATTGGCAGGGCCCTGGTCAAAGACTCCCTCAAGGTTACACAGCCTCCTGCGAATTTTCGTTACACGGGCAAAGGAGGTGAGGAGATCAAGCACTTGAATGGTCTGACGAACCCTGCGGGCGATCTGACTGTGTGGCAGTGGCAGAGGATGAGGTGGTCTGCTGCGAAGGAATGGCTGGAATATTGGGCTGACCGCGGGGCCGCGGGCGCGGGCGGCGCCAGATTGGCCATCATCCATTCCAGCGGTGATGTGCTCTACGGCGGCGGCTGTGACGAGAACACGATCGTCTACAGGTACAACAGGATCGTCAACGCGAGTGGTGGCTCGCAGAAGATCGTGATGGCGGCGGAGCTGAGTCCTTGGCCTGCTGACCTGGGGTGGAGCTATAACTTGACTAGCTCTAGCTGGGCTGAGGGCAGGAGGGCCGACGTGCTTTCGGACTTCAGCGTGCCCGATAACTGGGAGTCGACATACGCCAACTGCACCGAGCCCAGCGTAGGCCCGTGCAACTCTTCACCCAAATACATGTACGCCAACTCCGGCTTCATGATGGGTACAATCGACGCTCTCATCGACATGATCGCAGATCTTGGGACTACCTACTCTGGCTGGGACAATCGATGGTTCAACGAGTACTACTTGAAGAACCCTGCTACTGTGACTCTCGACTACGCTGGCATCCTGTCCATGTCCCTCCACAACATGAATCTCGGAAGCCTCCCGCTCGAAGTCAACGGCACTAACACGGGCAAGACCATCCAGAGCAAGTTGACAAACGGTTCGATTTGCTTCGTGCACGGCAACGGGAACAGCTTCGCAGCTCTTCAAGGTATCGCGGGGGAGCTCAAGGCCTAGACTTGAGCAGTGTAGGCAAAACGAGTCCATAGTATGTTTCGCTTGGATGCGTGCGCATGCGCAATTACATACGAACATCGCATGTGTTGACGTTTTCAATGCGAGATTCCCACGAGTGTCAGATGTTCAGGGTCTTTTCCAGGGCGCAGTGACTTCTTGCTCCGCTCCTCGCTGCCTTGCGCTTGAAGTCCACACGATTCCGCGGAAGCATCTTTGGAGCTGCTTCCGCGTGTGGCGCTGCAACGCTTGCCTTGCAGTTCGCTGTTTCATTTCGTAATTTCATTGCCTCTGCGAGTGCTTGTGGTGCTGGCTTGGGTCCACATGTCGGCAATGAAGAGCCCATCAGGGTGCGCGCGATTCGCGCTCTTACTCCTCCTCTGTCTCCCCCTTCCAATTCTAGACGCTCCGCGTAACCCCACCAGCCCATCCAGAAACGATGCCCAGAGGAATTGCCTCGATCAGGGAAGCGGGCAGCATACAGAGGAAGGGTCCCCAGTGGAGGCCTCTTGGAGCGTCTTGGAGGCCTCTTGGCGGTCGCGGACGCCTCTTAGAGCGTCTTGGATGCCTCGGACAGCTTCTTGGGGCCTCTTGGGGGTCTCTTGGGAGCCTCTTGGAGACCTCTTGGGCGCCTGTTGGTGCCTCCTGGGGCCTCCTGGGCGCCTCTTGGGGCCCTCTTGAAGCGCTCTGTGGAGCCTTGGGAGCGCTCTTGGGACCGTCTTGGAGGACATCGATCAAACAAGACGCACACATTAATTAGCGTTGCCCCTCGGGAGCCCCAAACGACGCCTCTTGGGGCGTTCTTGGGGCGCTCTTGGAGCGCTCTTGGGCGCTCTTGGGGCCGTCTTGGGGCTCTCTTGAGCCTCTCTTGGGGCCCTCTTTGGCCATCTTGGAGCCATCTTGAGGCCTCGGATGGCAATCGGAAACGAAAAGGCGAGAAAGCCACACTCATTGATGTTCCTAGGTTTTGGACGGATTTTGGCTTTTTCGGGGCCTCTTGGGGGAGCTCTTTGGTCACTTGGAGCCGTCGTGGAGCGGTCTTGGGGGCATCTTAGAGCACCGTGGGGGCCATTTTGAGGCATCTTGGGGTATCTTGGGCCATCTTGGAGGTCATCTTGGGCTCTCCCAGGCGCTCTTGGAGTCATCTTAATCAGTGCCCCCCCCAAAGGAGGCCAACGTGTGGCCAACACCTTGGTACAGTCAATGATCTTGGAGCTGCTTGGGGGTCTCTTGGGAGCCTCTTGGGGGCATCCTGGGGGCCTCCTGGCCACCTCTTGGGGCCCTCTTGTGGCACCCTTGGGAGCCTTGGGGGCCATCTTTGGGCCATCTTGGGTGGGATCGATCAGAGGAGGGGGGTTCCGAAAATTGGCCTCGCCCCCCCCCCCCTCCCCCCTCCCCAGGAGGCCAAAATGGGGCCAAAACCTTAGTCAACTCAAAGATTCGGGCTTCCCTGAATAGGCCGTTTTGGACGCTCCAACTACCCGCGGACCCCCCCGTCCAGGTCCAGGGGAGGGAGTAGGGGGAGGGGTAAGCCCTTCCCCACAGGGGAATAAGGGGGTTGGAAGAGGAAGCTCCCTGGACCACCTGCGCCCTAAAGAGCTGGTGGGATTTCCCCTTAGCGTCTTTCTTCATGCTGCCCTTCTTCCCTTTTATTCATCGTGTTCAGCCATGCCTCTTGCACGCACATCCGTACGCACATGCATACTTGCACGCACATGCACATGCGTACGCACATCCGTATGCATAGGCGCTTCCGTATACAACCAGATGTGCATATGCGTGGACGCACGTACGTCACCTTTATCTGAAAGGGTGCCCCCTCTGCCGCCCGCCCTCCAGGCTCAGCCATCCGGTGGCTCGTTTTTGGAGTCGTTCCGGGGCCGGCATGGAGCATCTTGGGTGCCCCTTGGGGCCTTTGGGCCACATGTAGGGGAACGGCAGCTGACATAAACATAACAACTCTGATGTCCGCTCGAATTTCTTGGATCTGCGCTGGACCTCCCTCCCTGGCGCGCGGAGCGCGCCAGGGGCGGCGCCCGAGGCGCCGCCAGGGGGTCCCAGCGCCTATCCAAGAAATCCGCGCGGACCTCAGAGTTTTCATGTTCATGCCGTTTTTCGTTCCCCTAATTTGTTGAGTCGTTCTGGGGCCAGCACGGAGCATCTTGGGTGCTTTTTGGGGCCTTTGGGCCACACGCGATCCATCTCGGGCAGCCTCGGGGCCCTCTTGAGGCCGCAGGGGCCTACCTCGAGAGCGTCCTGAGGAGGAGGAGGAGGAGGAGGAGGAGGAGGAGGAGGAGGAGGAGGAGGAGGAGGAGGAGGAGGAGGAGGAGGAGGAGAAAGGAGGAGGGGGAGGAGGCGGAGGAGGGATCTCATGAGCGCTACTGCGTGCGCAGGAGGAGGAGGAGGAGGAGGAGGAGGAGGAGGAGGAGGAGGAGGAGAGGAGGAGGAGGAGGAGGAGAGGAGGAGGAGGGAGGAGGAGGAGGAGGAGAGGAGGAGGAGGAGGAGGAGGAGGAGGAGGAGGAGGACGAGGAGGACGAGGAGGAGGAGGAGAGGAGGAGGAGGAGCAGGAGGAGGAGGAGGAGGAGGATGAGGAGGAGGAGGAGGAGGAGGAGGATGGAGGGAGGGGAGGGAGGGAGGGAGGGAGAGAGGGAGGGAGGGAGGGAGGAGGAGAGAGGAGGAGGAGGCGGAGGAGGAGGATGAGGAGGAGGAGGAGGAGGAGATGAGGGTGAAGGAGGAGGAAGGAGGAGGAGAGGAAGAGGAGAAGAGGAGGAGGAGGAGGAGGAGGAGGATGAGGCGGAGGGAGGAGAGGAAGAGGAGGAGGAGGAGGAATAGGAGGAGGCGGAGGAGGGAGGAGGAGGAGGAGGAGGGGGATAAGGAGGAGGAGGAGGAGGAGGAGGAGGAGGAAGAGGAGGAGGAGGCGGCGGTGGAACGGGAGGAGGAGGATGAGGAGGATGGGGGATGATGCTGCTGACGATGCTGCTGCTGATGATGATGATGATGACGATGATGCTGATGATGATCATGAGGATGCTGATGATGATGCCGATGATGCTGATGCTGATAAGGATGATGATGCTGATGATGGTGATTCTGAATCCGATTCTGATTATGATTATGATGATGCTGTTGTGATGGTGACGTTGATGACGATTCTGATGATGATGCTGATGCTAGTGCTGATGCTGATTCTTCTGACGATGACGATATGATGCTGATGCTGATGCTGCTGATCATGATAATGCTGTGTACGCTCATGCGGATTATGATGATGATGTTGATGATGTTGATGATGATGATGATGCTGATGCTGATGCTGCTGATGATGATGATGCTGCTGCCGCTGATGATGATGATGATGGTGATGATGATGGTGATGGTGATGACGATGATGATGCTGCTGCTGATGATGCTGCTGATGATGATGATGCTGCTGCTGTTGATGATGATGATGATGGTGATGGTGATGGTGATGGTGATGATGATGATGATGACGATGATGATGATGATGATGCTGCTGCTGCTGCTGATGATGTTGATGCTGATGATGATGATAATGATGCTGATGATGAGGATGATGAGGATGATGCTGCTGCTGATGATGCTGCTGATGATGATGCCGATGCTGATGATGCTGCTGCTGATGATGATGATGATGACGATGATGATGATGATGATGATGATGATGCTGATGATGATGATGATGATGATGATGATGATGATGATGATGATGATGATTGATGATTGATGATGATGATGATGATGATGATGATGATGA